GGCCCGGGGGCTCCTCGCCCCGCAGGCGTGGTCCCTAAACGCAGCCCCGAGCTTTCGTTGCCGTTGAAGCACGCAACTCTGAAAATCGGGGTTAGTACGCGCCGAAGAGTTCTCCCAAAGCGCGCAGGTCCGTACAAAGGGGAACTTTTAAAAAAGAAAGGAAAAAAAAAAAAGTGTTGCTTGATCTCGCCTAGGTGGTGGAAGTAAAACAGGGGGCGGGGGGGAGGATATAGATGGGAAATGAGAGCCGGTGGGAAACGAGGGCCGACTTTTTGCCCTCCCAAAAACAACTGAAAGCTTGTTTTTTGTTTGTTTACTTCCCGATCCCCGAGTTGCGATGAGTGGCCGGAGGGAAGGTTGTGCTCGTGTCTCTGCAGCCTGTTACTACTGAATCAGTCGGTTGCAGCCGGGCCGAGCCGGTGGCAGTGATCTGTAGCATAACACATTCTTTATTTAGAAGAATCCAGTAGGAAAGCTTCCTGAACTCCGTTAACGTGACTGCGGTTGCTGGAGGGTTGTCTTTGCACGTGCGTTTATATTGTAAGTCTGGGAGATACTTCCGTGGATTTGATTGAAAGACGCAGTGTTATTCTTTTAGGCAAGACACCTGTATATTTGTGACTTCCACAAAAACTTAATTCAGAGTGTGAGAAACAGAAGAAAGAGAAAAGGCAGCGACGATGATGGTGACTCACCAGTGCAAGACATCGACACTCCAGAGGTAGCTAAGTAGTTGGGGTTTTTTAATTGTTTTGTTCAGCTTGTTCTTAATGACTACCGAGTCTGCAGGGATACCGCTTTTCCACCCTTGCAGCTTTCCTTATTTTGGGGCATGCAGGAAAGGGAAGGCTCCTGATTCACTCAGTTCTTAATATAACAAAAGCTAACTGAATTTTATGGTGCATTTTCTGTATTAATTGTGCAGAGTAGAATGAACAAGATTCTTTACATTATTTTTAAGTCTCTGCTACTTCTCTCAGAAAATTGGTATTTTCAACTTTCTCCTTCTTAGTGCTTCCTCTCCAGAGTGGTGCTTTGCCACGTATCCACAAACTCTTGTCTTCTGCAGGAGTTGACAACTTGAAGGCAATTGCTCGTAGGGCTTGGGATATAAATGCTTCGCTGCCCTGTCCCTCCGATCCTTTCCTTCTGTGCTAAACGTGTTGCAGATGGCTCTTGCAGTTATTCCGTTGCCTTAGTCTAACCAGGAAAGTTTGATGATGGTAGCTCTTTGTTTTTACCCCTTGCTGGGAGAAGAGACATTTGGGGAGCAGTGCTAGAAAGGAGTGGAGAAGGGTGGTGCTTCTCAGACCTGTTTTCTCCACTGCAGACCAGTGAAGCCTCACCCATTATAAAACTGAACTGCAGCTTTCAAACCTTTTGCATAGTATAGTGAGAGGGACTGCACCTAAGGCTCTTTTTCCTACATGTGCTCTGTGTTATTTCTGCTACAGCCTGGTTTAGCAGGTGCTCTTCAGTGTGTTAATTTTGAGCAGAGCCTGTCATGCCTACCCGGTCCCTTCTAAGAGGGATTTTTTTAAAGCATTCTTCAGAAATTGCTCCGTAAGTGTTAATTTAATGCCATCCTTATGGTCAGCATCTGCAGATACCGGCAGCATAAGTGATGAAACTTTGTGCCTAAAGGCACGTGGCTCCAGTCGGAAGGCTCTGGCTAAGAGGATTTTAAGGGATTGGGCATAGTTTGATGCTGGGCTGTGTTTTTTGTTAAATACGTGGGACTGCTTCTTTGAAAGTTCTGTCTAAAGCTAGTGTTCTGTATGACTTCAGGTAGCTCTCTGGCACAGTGGTAATCGCAGCTCTCCTGCAAGCCTGTTTTGTTTTCTCATGCAAGAATTATAAAACATGTCACAACCGATGGATATCTCTAGAACAGGAAAGCAAGCTTTTTTTAGTGGTACTACTGCAGGAAAGAAAACTGCCTGGGAAGTATTTTGTGAGAAGCTTCAACTGGCTGTTTGGACAACGGCAGTATGTTCATCCCATGTGATTACTGTATGCCTTAGATACCTGTTGGCCCTTGACCTTCTTTATGTTCAGTTGTTATCCAGTTTACTAAGGAAAAAAAAAGTGCCATTCTTCTGAAGACTTGTAAGGCCCTTGTGTTTCCATCTCAGTCGTGACCATCATTACCTGTTAGAAGTGGTTCCTGTGAGAGGGGAAGAGGCTTCTGCAGCACGGGTAGCTTCTGGGACTTGGTGGGAAGCTGCTGCTACTCCTCTGTGTGATGCTCTAGTGTGTGGGTTCTCCACTGTGACTTGGGAAGTGAAATTCGTGCCATGTAAACTTTTAGAATACCAAAGGATGCCCAGCCTCTATCATGCAAGGCAGCATCACATCAAGTCTGGCTAAGTTACCAAGTATGCAGTAGCACTGTTGTTGTTTAAATATTCTATAGTTGAGGCCACTAAATGAATTTAAAGAGGAAGTGAACGCCTTAACCAATCTTTAATGCAGTGAGTTTGGAGAACACTACTGTAATTGCAATGATCTAGCAGAATTTCTCATTCAGCCTGCTTTCTCAGCGTGCTTTCCCACTCAGTCATCTGATTAAGCTCTCTTACATTGTCAAGGAGGGTGGGAGGGCAAGCTGTTGCTGGGAGAAGTGACTGTTCGTAAGAGTTCATGGGATTCAAAACTGAGGGAATACTGGGTTAAAGTTGTGTATTTGTATCCCTGAGAGGACCTTGTGCAATTCTCTTAACTGTCAACTCGCACTGAAAAATAATTGTGGACAACTATGCCCGTGCACGTAACTCCTGCATTGTGCTTATGTGGCAGGGATATGTTTGGAGAGCAAGAGCAGCTATTTTCTTCTCTCACCTCAAGCCAAGAAAACTTCGTGCTCTAGCCTTTTTCCCAGTTCTAATCCGCACCGTGAGATAGCACGTATGTGCTATATCTTGCGTGTAACTTGATGGCCAAAATCACAATATAGGGGCTTCCTTTGCATCAGCATCTTCATAGAGGTTATACGGAAGTTGTTACTGGGCTTTCTGTTATCATGCTTGAACTGCGGAACAAACAAAAAACCCAGAACTGATTAAAGTACAATAATGAGTTCCAAATATTGTCCACAGCTAAAGGGAGGCAGAGCCATGTTCGGTAATAATAAAATGCTCTTAAACCGAGCTGGGCTGTTTTCCTTTCTGCTGGAAGGTGCGGGGTGGAGTTTGTTTTTTGTCAAAATTAGATCTGCTGAGCTGACGGTTTACCCTTATGTATCTGAGATTCCAAAATGTTTTTGAGAGGTAAACTATTAATGACTGAATCCTTTTCAGTTACATGAGATTGTTTTCCTCCCCTTCCCCCCCTCCCATTTTCTTCTAGGTTGATTTATATCAGTTACAAGTAAACACACTTCGAAGGTACAAAAGACACTTCAAACTACAGACCAGACCGGGACTTAACAAAGCACAGCTCGTTGAAGTACGTACGAGTGTTTGTTCCATAATAGAAAATGCAACTTGCTATGGCATGTGGTTTTCTATACAATGTGATCCTTGCATAAAGAGCATATGTAATCTGGGTTTTAGGAGAACAAAAGGGGACTGCTTATCTAGCTTCCTTCATTGGCCACAGCTCCTGAGCCAAGTAAATCAAAAGTAAGAGTTCTTTCTAGAGGAGGGACTCTTAACTTCCAAAAGGAGTGTGTGTGCTGCTTAAAAACACAAAGTGTTGAGTTGGAACAGTAAGATGATCTGCACGTCCCTGAATATCATAGAATCGTGGATTTATAGTCTTGTGCATCAGTCACACCTTCACATGAAGTGTCCTGCTGGAAAGAGCTAGAAACTGAGAGGTGGCAGTGAAAGTCTAGCAAGGTTCAGACTTTGCTTTAAAAAGCTAGTTAATACAAACATAAGTGTTTCTGTGTATGTAAAGTATGGAAATCTGAAAAACAGGCTTCTATTGATAATTATGTTAATCAAAACCATTGGGATCTGTCATCAGAAAAATGGAACTTTATGAAATTAGGTTTTTTCTTATTAATATTTCTAAAAGTGCTGAAGCTGTGTATGAGTACAGCTATATGCGAGCATCTTTGCTGCATGCTGCTGTAATTTAAAGGAATCCTTCTGCGCCGCAAAGATGCGGTTACAGTGTGCTGATGTAAATACGTGGGAGAACTGGTGATCTTCTCTTAACAGGGAGATACAGTAACTATTTTTTCACTTTTGTGCAGCGATACACTCAGTTGTACTTTGGTCCAGACATTTTGTTAGTTTCTCCCTTTATCTGTGTGTATTAAAGGCAAGGTCCTTAAATGTGTGGGAGATCTCAAGGCTGTGCTATAAAAGAATAGTGCGGCTGCCGCTATGAGTAAGAATTTAAAATCAGTCTTCTGTTTTCTTTTATGTGAGCTGAGGTACAGCTAGCTCTTGAATTAGCAGGACTGTGATTTGAAAAAGCACATGCAGTTTTTGTTCTGCAAAACTAGCATTTCTAAGGGTCTGCTTTAGGTACGGCTCATGAGATATTTGTGCTTGCTTACGCTTATTACGCTGCTTGATGTGAATAGGCAAAGCTTCTGTCACGTGCTTTGTTTGACCTGCAGGTATTTGTGAGCCGTAGCTGCAGAACTTCCTTAGTTTACAGTGCATGTGATTCCTCGTAACCTGTCCTAATGTACAACAGACACTCCTCTAGCTGTTACTTAGTCCTACTTTAAAGGACTCTGTCACAAACCGTTTCTCTGTGATTTTTTTTTTTGGGGGGGGGAGGGTGGGGTTTAGAAAGCTTTTTAACTTGCTAATTATGCTAAACATTTATACCCTGTGGTAGTTAAATGAGCAGTCCCATTTTTCTCACTTCCTCTTGGTAATTTTAATCTACCAAAGTATTGGGCAAAAAGCCAGAGAATAGTCTTAGATAGGTATAATATTTTGAGTGCTTTCTTTTAAAGCTGATGTTCGTTTTGATGAAGGGAAAGACTTCTGGAATGACAAAAGTGATTCAAGAACTGTTTAGAGATTGTCATATTTTAGTGGTTACAGCATGGTGAATTTTCATTGATAGCTCTGTTTTGAAGAGCTGAATGGTCAATTATAATTCTCAAAGATTCTTGTGTTGTCTTAGATGTTTCTATACATGACTTGATACAGACATGTGCTCTCCTTCCCCCCTGCCCTCTTGAGTGATGAGCAGTAGCCTCCCATTTCTGTGCTGTAGCTCTGTTGATATGCTATAGTCATTACTTGCTTTATAGTTAAGTTTTAACGATACAGATGTAATGATACTCCCATGCTTGTTTTGAGAACTTACCTTTTTTTTCCTGAAAAATTTCTGGGCTTTTTACTTTGGAAATTAGGGTACAATCTGCTATATTTAGTTCATAGATCTCAGTAAAATGGTTCCTGTTTACTTTTTTATGACTATTAAAGACTTTTGAAGAGAGGTAGCTTTTCCTTTTTTTTTTTTAAGCTTCTTGATCGAGCTTTTAACTTTAATGTAGTTGATTTAAATCTGAACCTTCAGTTTCTGCATATAAGAGTGGTTGTTTAATTTCCTTGCGTTCTTCCTTTATAGATAATTGGCTGCCATTTTAGGACAATTCCAGTGAATGAAAAGGACACCTTAACATATTTCATCTACTCGGTGAAGAATGACAAGAACAAACCAGATCTAAAGATGGATAGTGGTGTTCATTAGGTGGAAAATGTTGAGACAGAGACTCAGGCTGCAAATCAAAAGACTGAGGGTTTTTGTTGATAAGCAAAAGCTTTCTTTGTAACTTTTTTTCTCCCCAGAGAGTTTGTCTCTGTTTTATTTTTCATAACCTTGCTGATTTGTTTGAAAACCATCTCTTACGAAACAAATTTCCTCAGCAAAAGTATTTTAAATAAATATCACTGATATTGTTGCTCAAGTGTGTGTGTCTGTAACTTATTTAGTGAGTTACTTGTACCTAATAGTTAAGCTTTGACTAATTATGTAATAATATTAAAATATTTTTCAATTAAAGTGTGCCAAGGATATATTTATGAATGTACTTCAAGTTCTCATGATGCAATGCCTTTTAAAAAAAAAAAAAAAGCTGTAGCAGACTTGGCAATAGGTTCTTTTTCCTAAGGTAAAAGGCTTTAAATGACAGTTCCAGTTGCTAGCTGGGCAGAAACGGCTGAATAACATTTTCTTTTTCCCCTTCGGAAACAAGAATTGATGCGGGCTTTTCTGATTTGTTTATTCATCTTGTCATTGCTGGGATATGTGCTTCCAAGCACCGAGGCTTTCCTGCTCCTATATTAAAATGGAAAAAAATGCAGCTCTCGAATTTCAAAGCCATAAGAACGGATGAAAAGACTGCTGCAGCTTACTGTGCCGAGAAATCCTTCCACTCGGTAAGAAATCCTTTAGCTGCAGACTTTTCCATTCATCTATATAGAATGTGGTTAAGAACGTAATTGGAGAATGGAAGACAGTCTGTGCTGGGTCAATATGGTATCTTCTAACAGGCATACTATTTCTTTTTCATTGCATGCATTAGCTCAGGCCTGTTTTAAAACAAAACAAAAACCAAACAAAACAACAAACACCAAAACTTATGGTAATATATGAGGAAAATACCCAGCAATACTTTTGCTTTTAATTGAATATCTTAGTAAAGTCTGATGTTGAAGATGATATTGTGAATGACTTCTTGTATTGTCATTTAACTATTGTGCCAGCCTAAATGCATGGTATATGGAATATGATTTCTTTCTGCTTTAAGCTGTGCACATAGATTGAAGAAAAGGCGGAGGGAGAAAAGTTCTCATCTTAAAGCAGAGGAGGACACAGCTTGTTCAGTTAGCATTTGTTGCAACTCTTAACCTTATCAGATGTTTAAAATCTTTTTCTTCATTTGGGAAAAATGAGAAAGCAGTATTTCTATGGTCTAATCTGCTCGATGTTAATCTTGTGAGTTTTTTGAAAACTACTACTTTGCTGGCATCACTGCAACTAAGATGCTTCATTTTGCTTTTTTGACCCATGACACTCGCAGAGAACTGAATGATGATAAACCCTAACCTCAAACTGGCTGCCTTTCCAGTAGCTCTCAGTGGCTGGATTTCTTTCACTTGCAGTGTCTTATGTATTTCCACAATAAAGTCCTGCGGTGCTGGCCTAAGTTCAAGACGGTTCGTGACATCTAGGTAGTGGCAGCTAAAATTGGTATTCCTTTGAAGAGATGTTTTAATGCCCATTTCAGTACAGTGACTGTAAAGTTGTTTGCTAAATACCTTTCGCACAAATTGAGCTTGTCATCTTCAAAGTACTAGTTGGAGAAACAGCCAGGGAACTTGGCCGTGGATGGGACATCTGAAGGAGAAAGGCTTTTTCTCTGAGTGCGTGGCAGGGGTGAGTGTTCTCACCTAGGTCTGGCAGGACCTGTAGAAGAAGCTTTGCGGGGGGAAGAGAGTAGGGAGAGAAACAAAATCAAGTTTCTATGGGAAGTCGGTCTTAAAGTAGTAGCCTAAGTGACCCTATCCTGCTGCATGTGGAAAGGCACAAAACTTTTCTCCAGTGGATTATGGATTTTCCTTAGCCAGGAGTGGTGGAAGGAGAGTAACCACCTACTAACTTTACTGCCCAGATTTGCATCTGCCTTAAATTTTTTGCTACTGCTGCTTTGGAAAGCTGTGAATGCCAGGCATATGCAACATGATTCATGTAGAAACCAACTGAAGTTACATGCCCTTATTACTGCTAGAAGCTTATGGAGAATTCTGCACAAGAGCAGATACCATATGTTTTCTTAACAGAGCACTGACTTTGGATATTTTGACTGTGGATTGCCAGATTCATGGTTTGTTTGTGGTTTGGGTTTTTTGGTTTTTTTTTTTTTACCCTTAATTGATGATTTGGTAGGAAGCCCAAATGACTCAGGAATAATTATACAAACCAGGCTTAAAAAGCCTGGTGACACAAACTGTTTGTTTAACAGTCAGTAGCCTAAAAATTACTTGGCAAAAATAGTACACACAGATTTACTTGAAACATTTATTATTAGCTATGTATAATCACCCCCCTCCCCTACAAGCCAACCCTCATTTAGTAACAGAGGAAGAAGAACAGTCATTGTGATATTTCATACTGCATGTGAAATAAGTCTGGTAAACTGGTGGTAGCAGTTTTCATGATGTAATATTGTAAGGTTCTTAGATGAACAGTACACCTTTTTTAAAGTGGAAAAAACTAAATACTTACTTCAGTACTACACACCCTCCATATGACTGACTTGATAGCTAAAGAGTTTTTATATGTAAGGCAATAAGCCAGGCTTACTGAGTGTAAGCCTGGCTTCTTCAGGTGGCTTTCCTTAAACTTATAAAAGGACATAAATTATTGGCTGTTTTTCTTTTGCACTGTAATCAGTATTGGCACATGTTGAGAAGTGACTGTATATCTACAGCCTAGATCACGATACCTCTTAAACATTAAGATGGTTACTTCTAATATTTTGAGATACCTCTTTGTCTTCTCTTCCCTAGCTATTTCCCTAC